ACCATTTTTTCTGCTCACGAAAAAACTTGCATGGTATCACTTAACCAATCTTGTATAAATCTGTCAATTTTTGTAACTGTAATTTTATGCTTATTCAAGTTTATTATATTTTTTAGTTATACAAGCAAAAAATTTTAAGAGAACTGTTAATTAAACAGAGGAGAAGTTTTTTTAAATGCAGTTGCAAAAAGAAAAAAGGAAAGATTACTAAAAATTGAACTGATCAGAATGTTAGTGGCTTTCCATAAGAAAATTATAAATTTTTCCGGCAAAGTAGACTCTGGTTCCGGCTAATAACCCTACAATTTTGATAAAGCATATGCTCTTCTCACTTCACCACTGCAAGCGGGATATTGAAAGACGAGGCACAGATTTAACGTTAAGTTCCGACAAAACGGACAGACACACTTCCAAACGTAACTTCCGTCAAGCAGAAAGCTTTCACGAACAATTATACACCAAAATTTAGCTCAATAATAAAAGATGTAAAATAAATCGCTGCTTAAGTAGATCAGTAGCTGTAACTTTTCAAAATTTAATTACGTTTTACAGTCGCTTAAAGACATTAAGATACGACCAGATTTGTATACGACGGTAATGGAGATACTCGATGCAGCGCGTTACATGGAAATCACTGTTTGCACAAGTTTACCATATGCTGAACACTTTAATATGGCTTCTACCAATAATCGTGTTCTGTGTACTGTTACAGCCTTCGCAATTATAAAAGCCAGAGGCTTTTTATTGAAAAAAAAACGAAAAATTTTAAAAAACTTCACAAACACAAGCTCAAATGTGTGAAGAGAAAAAAGAGAAGGAAAAGAAGTAGTTACAAAAATGTACATAGAAATGGCAGGCTATCACAGCATGGGACGTCATGACACTAAGTTTGTTTCTAAGGTTTTTTTTTTGTTTTAAGAAGACTCCCTGAAGCACACGTTCTTATGAAACTGTATTACAGAAGACCACAACGCAAATGAGAGAAAAATAACTACAAAATACTTCTGCTGCTATGAACAAATAACACATGAATCGACTGTAAAGCAACCCCTGAACAATAACAGAGGATCGCGCAGACAGTATTGCCTGACAATCACTGAAAAAAACTTTGGAAAGCAATCATGAACATCTTCGGAAACATTTTTACTTCCGTAAAAACGCATATCTTTCTGCGCTTCTCCATCTTAATCCTCCATTTTAAAACAACTATGCAAAAGTCATATAAGAAAACCAGAAACCAGATGAAGAAGAAACAAGCTGAAGAGAAATACCGAAATAGCTCTTATTAAGAATTATGCTCTCTCGAAGTACGCAACAGTGCTGCGCGTAGTAAACGAACAAACAATAATGGAAATAAGAAAGGAAATAAGAGAAAAAAAAAAAGTAAAAGTAATAATACAACAGCTATAGTCGTAATTACAGTAAGAAGTAAGGGAAAAAGATCAAGATGACAAATCAACATGGTAATTAACTCAAACGATACAAATTTAGAAAAAGGCAAAAACCAACACAGAAGCTTTTTCTCTTTGGCTGAATGAATAGCACAATATCGGGAAAAACAATAAACAGAAGACAACCAAAAAAACTAACACAAATATAACTGTGATAAAGAATCAAGAATTGCTAGTTTTCCCTCTTTTAAAGTGAAAAAAAATTGATGAGAAGGTAAATACTGCAATCTAAAACAGATTTGTACTGGCAAGATGCTTTGTTTCCAAAATAATTGACTTTTCAGCAACTAAAGAAGCGAAAGTGCAACATATAGACTAGCTGGCGACAAAGAAAAACAAGAAGTACAAGAAAATAGACCCAGAACTACTTTAACGAATGTCGTCACTGCAAGCTTTCATTTTCATCATTCAAAATGGGCAATGATACTAGCGGCTGTGCTACGAATTTCTGATACATACTAAAAACAACCGTTGAAGCCAAATGAACTATTAGTTCTATTCAAATGTTCAAAAGAATAACCACCAAAAATTTCTCAAAGCAAACTATCAAAATTAAAAAATAAACGAAGTAACCACGCAAAAAAAACCTCCACCAATCATTTCTATCAGCCATAAAATAAATTAATTTAAAAAATCACGGTTGTTTTTAAATCCAAAAAGAAAGAAAATATAAAGAAGAAAAAAGAAAAAGCATCTAGTAGTCTCTTGCGCTGAAGAAAAGTTTGAAACCACCTAATAACGTAAAACCCAACAATTAAAAGCCACAGACTTTTGTCAGAGCGAAGCTTCGTAATAAAAAATCGAGCACATAAAGTAAACGAAGTGAAAATGCAAGCTGTACCAAAAACACAAAGTCAAAAATTAAAGATGAAAGAAAATTTAATAAAAAGATAAATGCAGCATCGCAGGATATTAGAAGTTGTAATCACAGAAAGTAACTTGAGAAATTTGACAAATGATTAAAATGGTAATAATAATAATAATAATAATAATAATAATAATAATAAGACAATAATAATAAATTAATTTTGAGATTTTTCGGAATCAGTAATAATAATAATAATAATAATAATAATAATAATAATAAGACAATAATAATAGTAGCAAAAACAATAATAAATGCAAAAAGCAGAAAACTCCGAAAAGAATATATATAGGATCGATTATATAGCCTGCAAAAAGCTGACTGAATAATCAAAGGCAATTTAGTGACCCGCAAAAAATTGCCTTCAACCGTTACAAAAGTAAATGAGTGTCGAAAGTTTGACCCAAAAATGAAAGCTATTGAAAACAAAATAAAACCTACATTGTACACAGTAACGGTATCAAAACAGGATATTTATCAGCTACTTCGCGAAGAATGCTATTTTATCAATAAATAATTAATTTAAGGATTCGCTTGTTCACGCGCAGATACCTGAGAAATACCGTCAGAAGAAGACTGACTATTGTTCCCTGAAGTAGGAGGTTGCATTATAGAAGATCGCCAAAATTTGTTATCATCATCTTGTTGTTTGCACTGTCCATCAAACTCTGCCGAAACCGTTCGGTCACTGCCATCATCACCAACAGATGTCGTACTTGATCCAGGCACCACAGGAGTATCAATCCCAGAAGCCTTACATGACGAAGTTGTTTCCTCCTTACCAGCATCATAAACAGCTATGCAAACGTCACCAATCTAAATCAGAATTTTCAGAAAAAATTGAGAAAAAGAGAAGAATAAATGCCTTGCATTTAATTCTTGTCATTCTAATGATATCATCAAAGCCGCTCACTTAGAAAGTCCATACAAAGCAGAACAGAAAGGATATAAACGGGTTAGGAATACGTAAAATAAAACAAGGTCACAAGTTCACTCCCATGGTCTGCTAACCTGTAGTTGTCTGCAAGTTAAACCGTATGAATTACGCGTTTTTTCTGGATTACAGGATGCCCAACCATGGTTGACAACAAAGTATGGATGTTCAACTCCGGCTTCTATTGAAACCTGTAGGTATAGCTTTCTAGTCAGCTCTGCTCTCATGTTTTTTTGCAAACCCGGTTAGCACAAGAGCCATAATAAAAAGACTACAAAGTCACAAAAAGTCACCAAAGAAGAGCCTAATGCTTCCAAATACACAGAAAACCGGGAAAAATGAAATCATAACAACCAGGTAGTGAAGAAAATAATTCAGAAAGAAACCTCCGCTTTTTGCCGCTCTACAAAAAATGTGACAATGACACGCCTTTCTTTACCCGCATTTTGAATACTTCTAACTGTGCTATAACAAAGAATGAGATCTGTATTCATTGCAGCAGAATGCACAAAATCATCGGTGCTCATATCTTCGACCCGCTTTAACTGACCCGACTGAAGCTGTATAACCGTTCCTGAACTATATGGATACTATTTATTTGTTCTCATTGGCGAAAACAAAAAGTTTTGCACAGAAAAGGGTACAGAGAAGATATCCATAAAATAACGGTAGAAATACAATGCCAGTTAATACTTTAAGCAGAGAACTGTTCAAATCAATAATTTCAGAAAAACCGAAATTAAGAAAATAAGACCTTTCATAAAGTGAGAAGGATGATAGGAATGGACAGGAAGTGATTCCGAAGCAAACTGCGGAGGCCTTTGATAGGGTAATGCAGACTGTCTGTAATTATAAATAGTATTTTAAGCTAGACATATTTTTTACAAATCAGTTTTACAGCTATTAACCATACCGCCTTAAACTCTGAATAATAAACAGAAAAATCTTCAACAAAGAAAGACAAGAACAAGAAAACGAACAAGCTTTGTTACTTACCTTTGCCTCTGCGGAACGCACGAAGATAAAGCAAGCGATGGATTCCTTGTACGTGGTACAGGTGGCGGAAGCATCAGACTGCTGGTCTGTGAGGCTAAATTTAAATAAAACCAAGTTTCTGCTTGGAAAGGATATAAGCCCGCAATCAGTTATCTTCCAATTGAAAGGTAAAAGTTCAAGAACAAGATCGCATTAAATCGATGAAAACGATAAGAAACTAATACCATTTACAAACACCTGAGCTGAAATTAACTTACCATTCTGTCGTGATCGCACTCCGCTTTTGCCCGATGACAGTTCGTCTGGTGAAGGTGATGAAAAAGACCCACACGCCGTTGCACCTTTCCCAGAGACGCACAGCACATTTTGCGTAAAAGCTGACGGGACTAACGGAGATGTATCTCCAGCAATTTTCCCCGCTTGCAAACCTGAGGTCCCGGGTGTCGGCGAGATTGGGGTTCCGGTACGCACAGTAGTTGGAATTGGTGCGGGCAATCGTTGTTGTTGCTGTTGTGCCGCAGCAGCAGCAGCAGCAGCAGCCATTGCGGCCGCATTTGGGGGAAATGGACTTACTGGTTGTCCAAGAGCATTTCGAAGTTGTGCGGACAGCGGTGGTAGCGAAGTTACCCCACGTAAGGCCGTTTGAGCCAACATTTGGGTGGAAAGCTGCTGTTGCTGAAGGTGCACAAGGTAGCGCTGGATATGCTCGAATGGCAGGCCTGCCGTTGGTGATACCAACTGAGAAACTGGAAAAATGATGCTTCAGTTATGTCACAAGAATAAAAATTTGTTAAAATCGCATGTAGCAAGGTTCGAACAGTTTTATGTAGTTCATCTACCTGTTGAACTTTGCTGTTGAGATGATGACGCAGCCACAGACTGCGCAACTTGATGTTGTTGTTGTTCTTGTTCTTGTTGTTCTTGTTGTTGTTCTTGTTGTTCTTGTTGTTGTTGTTGTTGTTGTTGTTGTTGTTGTTGTTGTGTTCCCGCTGCTGTTGTTGTTGTTGCTGCTGCTGATTTTGCTGTTGTTGTTGTTGTTGATTTTGCTGTTGTTGTTGTTGTTGCTGCTGTTGAGCTGCCGCATTAAGAAAGTACTGATATTGTGCAATTAGATTGGAATTAACGGCAGCATTCAACATTTGCAACGTCGGAGCTGCCGCCTGGGTTGGGACTGTACCAACGTTGGTGAAAGAACCTGAATTAGCTGCGATACCCGTAAGAGAGGAGGCAGTTGCTGCAGATGAGGACGCAGAGATAAGTGGATGAGGTGCCACTAAATCACCAGACGCAGACGGAGCTGGTTGGTTCACCGTACGGCCAAAGCGAAGCGGTTGTGCCGGATACAAGGACTGCAATTTCGGTGGTATAAAAACGCAGGCTTACTTACTACAAAAGTGACAGCTAACTCTGTGCAACGGAAAAATCACGGTTCTAATAATTTGAATTAAACACACACCCGTGTATGAGACTGCTGCACTCAAAAACCAGTTTCCTGAAGAATAATCTTAGCAAAATTTAAAATAAAGCGGCGAGTAGTCTACAGCTTTAAAAGGAAGCTAAAGACCGTATTATCAAGTGGCAAGCACCACCTGACTTCCATTTTTTTTTTCTTTGTTAAACTTTGACATTATTTTCCAGCTTCCCTTCAACTATACAGTTTCAAAGTGGACGCTGACCCGGACAAGACTTGATTCAGAAAGCAATGAAATGACCAAGAAGTAAAAACCAAAAAAATTGTTCAAAAAAGAAAAACAAATAAAATCAAGTTCAAAAACTTCGTACAACATTCATCAAACTCGAAAATTTCCCCAAAAATCGTATAAAACCAGTTTGCCCTATCAGTTGTTTTCAATCTCCACCAGTTCATTTTACGTTACCTTATATAGATGATTGTAGTCTTTCTGGTAACAAGAGCAGTAATTGAAGTTTTTAAAAGAATTTAAAACGGAATTACTTGAGTCATTCAGAATTTTTAAGCTTAATGTAAAAACTTTTAAAACGTATGCAGGACTGACAACAAAATTTTTTAGGCTTGTCATACAACAGTAAGCTCCTTTACCATCATTTAAGTATTGTCAACATTCCCAGATAATCTTTTATAAATCATTTAAAAAAACAACACCTTTTTTCTCAAAGTTATGCGGTAAAGCTCTTAACTTTCTTATCTTTTCAATTGTCTAATTCAGTAGGTTCAACTGAAAACTGTTTGAAGTGAATAGCGCAATCTCATTTCAGCCTACAATCTACCAAGAAACTTATTTACATTTCAGCTTCTAAAAATTGATCTTCCTGCCTTTTTTGACAATACACCTTAACAAACAGTCACAGCACCTACCACAGAAGTATTACATGAAAAATATGAAATCCTTATCTATAGTGCGTCAGTTATTTCCATTTTTGAACGCAGTCCTTGAAAATATTAATGTGTAAAAAAAGCACAAGAAATGATGAAGAGGAGAAGACTTTAACTTGGAGATAATAAATGACAGTAAAAGTTGGTCTAGAAGAATAAATGGCAGAGTTGAGCTTCACTTTCAAAAGCCAATACTCATCATCTTAAATCTGCCAGTGAAAGTTTCTAACGTCTGTCAAGAACTAAGCTCGCATAGAGGAGAAGTGGTTATATCTAATTACAGTCGTTAAAAACCTACCGTGCTTTCACAGGTGGACATCGTCTTCTTGGAAAAAAATTATCAGTTACCAGAAAATTTGTTCTTAACATTGCTATCAATGATAATAAAAAATTTTCATCACAGCACCAGATTTTAGACGCGAGGAACAAACGCAGAAATGCAATGAAATTGTTCAGCACCCCCAATCATAAGAAAGACACAAGGAAGAGCGAGTAAAAGAAGAAAAAGTAGTAAAGAAGACTTAGAAAAGGCTATAAAAAATTACAATACTGCAGTATAGAATAGATTCTAATTCCTCACTCTTTAATCGAATTACTAGTACCTCATGTTCTTTTCTGTCTAGACAAACCGACTAAAAAAAATTTCACTCTTTCTAAACAGAACTATACCATTTCTACCTACCTGCAAATCAACGGGATTCCATCCAGCGGGTTGCTGCAATACAGTTTGTTGTAAAAGAGAGAACGATGTACCGGGAGGGCTCTGATGTAAAGTGCTGGTACTGTGTACGGCTAGTTGTAACGGTTGCGACGGTGGTACTGCACTGGCAATCGACTGAAACTTTTTTTCCTAACTATTTAATTCGGAACAGATGTATCTAACACGTATAAAAACGGCACTCGACAACCCTAATAATAAAACCTTGCATTACCAAATTCAACTGGTAAAATCTGTTTTCAAAAACAAGCACTCAAAGACAAAAAAAAAAGTGAACAAAGTGCACTGACAGGTGAATTTTGATTACAATAAAATCGGTAGCATTGAAATCAATAAAGTCCGTGTTTCAATATCAAAACAAAAACACTTCGTAGAAGTTAAGGTAATTCAATTCATACAATACAAAATGTCTTAGCGATCCAAAGGTTATCAACCATATAGAATTCTCAAAAAACAAAGTAAAACTTTTTGCTTCTACAACTGGTAAAACCTTCGTTCAGTATTAAAATTACCCTCTAAGTTTTAGCTCATTTTCTATTTTTTGAAAAAACTGATTTTATGTACGGCTCAACAAAGCTATAAAAACTATTTTAAAACCAAGTAAAAAATTACAAAGAAGGACAATCTCATAATAAAAATTGAAAAAGTTTTATTCGGAATACCGCAAAATTTCCCTTACATGATACAGACTTAAATTGCATTTTGGCATCATGAAGCAAACAAAAAAATGAAGAAAAAGAAAGGCAAATGACTTTTTTTTAATTTATTTATTCATATGAACGAATTCTTTGTTCTTAAGCAATCAACAATAATTTTTGCAAACCAAAACCATAAATAAGTTTTACAGAAAACGCCTTTTACAATTTCTTTTTCCTTCCCAAACTACTCCCTAACTCAGAAACTCTCAGTCCTCTCAATTTGTAGCCATCTACTGCTGCTAAAATCTCGCCATAGCTCCTGCTTGCCGCCTCATCCATTTCTACTTCCAAGTCATGCCTAATAATCTTTAGAAGAGTTGCAAAAAATGTCAACCTGCTCGCTGTATTATCGAAAGTTTAAGTTTTCTTTCCGACTTCAACTCGTCTTATTCTTCAATTGTCGAGCTTTGAGATCCACCGCATTAAACCTGCAAGAACTATCTAAGCCCTTCTATCACCCTCTAATACTCCCTACTGCTCTCAGCGTTTCCATCGAACCTCCGAGCACCTCCCATCATCCTTTTGGGAAATAATATTCCGAATGCGTATAACAGCTACATACCAAAATGAAGCCACGATAATCTTCAGTTAAAGCTGTCTTTCCTGCAGCCATCAATCTATCTGTCATATATATATATATATATATATATA